ACAGTCAATGTCTAAAATCACCCAATAGGTCTCTTTCTGTCTGTCTGTCTCTGTAGTATATGTGGGTGTGTGTGCATGTTTATGAGTATATGTACATGTGTGGGTGGGTGTGGCTGTGGAGATCAGAGGTTAACCTTAGATGTCTTCCTTTGGGAGCTGCCCATCTTTGCTGGTATTTGAGAGAGGGCTTCCGACTGGTACCTGGGGCTTACAGATTCAAGGCCCCAGGCATCCTCCTGTTTCTACCTCCCCAGATCTTCCATCTCAAGTTTACACTACCATGCCCAGCTTTGCACGTGGGTGCTGATAAATAGACTGGCCATGGCACTTTACTGACTGAGCTGTTTTCCAGCCTTATAGGATTCACCTCTCAAAGGCTCCACCACCTTATAATGCCAACATCAGAGCCAGTCCTTCAACACATGGCCCTTGCAGAATCATGTAAGATCTACACTATAGCAGAGGATGACTATCTATAATCCAGGGGAAGGGCAAGACTCAGAAGAAACCAACATTGGGTAGTCAAGTCCTGAGACTCACAGTTTGCTTTCAGACTTCTGACCTGTATGTAGGTCCATGGGACAATGCATTTTATCCTGTCTGGGCTCTTTGTGACAGCCCATGTGACTGAATCTGAGGAGCAGAAGCCAAAGGATGGCAGCAACAGCCAGGGATGAGTGAGATTCTCTTCCTGGTTGATAATCCTTGGAACAATCACAAAGCAAGAGCTGTGTAGTGTTTGTAGGTATAGAGATAACATAAACTTCATGAATTATGAAGTTCCGTTCTGAGTGGCCTCAAGTCTAGAGCAAGCAGTATGTGTGGTCACCTGTCAGAATGTTTGTAAGAGGGCTTGGGTGTGAGTGCATGGTGACACTCTGAAGCCTAGCCTTCCTCTCTGGGAAGCCTGATCAGTAGATTGCACCAGGAGCACAGCTGGACACAGGGATGAGGAGGCTGTCCTGAGCTGAAAGGAAGGCAGAGCAAAGAAGTCTGTGAAAGTGTCACTTATAGATCACAAAGCCTGGCAAGCACATGGTGTGTCTGTGTTTGTAGGTGTGAGGGTGTGTGTGAACACAAAAGCCCATTTGTGCCTGTGTTGGTAGGCTTGGGAGTGTGTATACATATGCATGGCATCCTGATGTCCTGCACTGTCACTAACAAGAGGCTTGGGGCAGAGCACAGACCTATGGAAGGTCGACAGATGGTACATGTTCCCAAGAGTGTTTACATTCTCTGCAGAGCTTTCTGGAATCTTACAAGTACAAACAATACAGTGTGAACTAAGGCACTGTCATCCCCAGGAGGAAGAGTATGGGGGGGTCTATGAGACTTGCCCAGGGGCTGGAGAGATTACATTGGCTGCTCTTCTAGAGGACCTGGGTTCCAACTCCCAGCACCCACATGGCAGCTCACAACTGTCTGTGATTCCAGTTCCAGAGGATCTGACACCTTCACTCAGACATACCTGCAGACAAAATGCCAATGCACATGAAATAAAATTTAAAAGAATTTCCCAGAGCAGTATCAAGTGAACTCCAGTCCTGTGCTTTTTCAGGACCAGGAACACATTTACTAAAACTGTGCTGACTCAAGCTACTGCTGCTGAAATTATTTAAGCAACACAGACATAGACATCTGAGCTTATAGTTGCCTTACAACTGTAAACCAACACATTTTTACATTAAACACACACACATTACAGTGACAATAAAATCCAATGTAACAGCATTAATTTTATATGATGGCTTGGGAAACAGAGTTGCCTCTTACACGTGTTTACGGTTGAACATGGTGGAGAGTGTTCTGGATTACTGGCGTCTCACCACCGTGTTCCAGACAGTGAGGCTGTCACTTCCAGCAGGGAGCTGAAGACCTGTTGCTTCTATAAGCCTTTTGGTCTAGATTTTCCCCAACCTGGGAGTCTTCACTTCTGCATACAGATAATCATAATTCTGTCACAGAAAGCATATACCACTGTGTCAAACACGGTAAGATGTCTCCATCTTCTATTTCCAAATTATTAGGAGACTAAAATGGGAACTTTCTGATAGCCAGGACCTCATTTTAGATTCATAAAACCTAAGAAATCTATTGTGTGAAAACATCTCTGAAACTGGGGGTAGGATTGTGTACTCAACATTACCTTAAAATAACTCAACTGTGAAAATGTGCATGGTATCTTAGATAACTACAGGGTGCTCGTACCCAACTATCAAACAAAAATGAGAATATATTTCATAGTCTGTAACCATTTTGTGTGCATGTATGTGTGTGGTGTGTATGCATGAGTGTGCTATGCATGTACAAGTGTATGTGTGTTTTGCATGTGTGTGACACAGGTGCATGGAAGTACATATGCATGCGTGTACATATGTGAGTGCACACTCAAGGGTGGCATCCAATGTCCTCCTCAATTACTCTCTGTTGTATACTGAGGCAGGCCTGGTGCTTTACCTTTTTTCTCAGTCTGGCTAGTTAGCTTTCTTCAGGGAGTTCCTGTCTCTGCCTCCCTTGCACTGGGATTATAGGTGGGCTGTCACATGCTGCTGGCTTTTACGTGGGATCTAGAAATCAGTATTCTAGCCCTCAGACTTACAAGGCAGTCCCCATACCCTCTGAGCCACACCCCCCCGCCGTGTGTATTTTAATTAAGATGAGATCTGCTATTGCCTAGGCTGTCTTTGAACTCCTAGACTCAAGCAATCCTCCTGCCTCAGCCTCTCAGGTAGGTGGGACCATAGGCATATGTCACCACACTGGCCATAAACAAATGTTCATTTCTGAATTTTATTTCAAAATACAACAAACTTGCAAAGGCTGTACAATAAAGTCTTTATAGTCTTCACCTAGTGTCTCATTGGGCCCTTCTCTTCTTGTGTGTCTCTCTACAAATATTTCAGAATACATGTTGCAGATACGTGTTGTTGTTTATTTAAGAGTAGTTTGTTAATATCATGTCTGTTAAGCTCAAACACCAAGTGCCAACATCAACACATTGTCTTCCAGAACCACATCTAGGAAGTAAACCTAAGTGATATGCGATTTGTATTGTCTGTGTACAAATTATTTGGAAGTTATTTTCTGATCCACCATACACCGAGTTCCTTTTAACCGCCTCTATTTTGTGTAACTCCTGCATCGTTTTGCTCAGTGAGTGTTTTATTTGTTGATCTGAGAACCGACGGCACGGTGTGCTCAGTTATATAGGTGGCCTGTCCCATTCCTACATGCTTTATTCTAATCCCCTCCTTTTAGAGCCTTTGACTCTGGATCTCCCCTTTTTCTGCCTCCTGGGAACCGACCCAGATTATTGTATCCAGTTAGCCTGCAGAGTCCTTGGCACCAGTGACACTTACCACTAAGGGCATTGTAGTCTGAGTACAAAATGTCCCTAACAGTGTTGAAGCCTACGTCCCAGCTGGTAGGCCTATTTTGGCAGGTGATGGTAATGTCTTGGTCTTGGCGTATGATGCATGGGCACTTACACACACACACACACACACACACACACACACACACACACACACTACAAAGAAAAGAAATCATGTGGTCCATAGTATCCTGAAGATCAAACTCAAAGCCCTACATGAGCTTGGCAAACATTCAATCACTGAGTGGCACCCCTCACCCCTAAGGAGACAAGGTCTTGTTAAGTTGCCAAGGATGACAATCCTCCTGCCTCAGCTTCCCCTGTAGTTGGGATTGCAGTCGTGTGCCACTAGACCTGCTAGTCTTTAATTCTTGGCCTGGTGCCCACCCAGCAGCTCTGCAGCTGCCTCCCCATCAGGCCTCCCCGCCTTCCACAGACCTGGCTCTGTAACAACGGAGCTGCTGTTTCCCTCCTGGCTTTCTGGGTGACCACTCCAGTGCCTGGGAAGCTCTGCTCCATGGGAGGAACCCAGAGGTGGCAGGTACCAAAGGAATCGAAAAGCCCACTAGTGTTACAAGCAGGAGTGGATGGTCCACCCTGGAGTACTTCTCTCGCCTTACTCCAAGCCTCCCCCAGTCTTCCTCACACCTTGTGAGCGGAAGGGTGTGAGGCTTCTGCTTTTTCTTCTCCCACTCCTCACCCTCTTCCTTTTCCTACTCCTACCCTCTCGTTCCTCCTCCCCCTTCTTCCCGCTTCCAGGGACCCTACTGGCTGTTGCTTTTCTTTTCTGAAACCCCATAAAGGAGCCCCGAATAACTGACACAAATGATTGCTGATGTTCACCATCAGGCGTTGGGTGCCAAACTTAACCTGATTGGCACACACCACTAGGAAGGGCGGGACCATTGCCCTGCAACAGAGCAACAGATGGAAGACACAGAGGCGCATGAACATTCCAGGCTCATTCTAGGCTTTCCCCTGCAAAGTTTCCTAACACCTACAAGCCAGGCCCAGGGACGGAGAGCCCTAAATAGCTATTCTTGCCCATAGTCTCCAACCTTTTCTGTGAACCCTTTAACTTTCTAAGGATCATCACCCAGCTCCCAGTTCCTTCAAATTCAAGGCAGAAATAGAAAACTTTTCTCTCAACTGCTGTAAGCCTCAATGGGAGTGCCTGGGGAGCGAATGTGTGAGGTCCAGGGTTAGGGTTTGTGGATGAACAGGGTCCGGTCCATAGATGCCTGGACTCCTCTTAGGAATATCCATGTTGGGGAGGAGGCGGCCAAGGAGACCCAAAGGCCTCAAGGAGACCACAAGGTCCTCGGGTCTGTATGGCCTGAATCTCCAGTGTCACCTCAGTTTTCCTATCTGAGACATGGGCGTGGTGAAACGGGACACCACGGGCTGGTTGAGCCCGTTGA